GTGCAGCCCCTGGAGCACTTGTTCTTATCTCACTGGAAGAAAAATGACCAAACTACAGCAGAGCCATGTGAGTCTGGGGAAGTCCTCGGCCTTAGTTTTGTTTAGCCCCCATTGGGGTCCTTTTGCACACACCTATCCCATAAGCTCCCTCTGCACACGCACATGTGCTGCCTAAACTGCTCCAGCGGTGGAGGTGGGGTGTGCAGCCCCTGGAGCACTTGTTCTTATCTCACTGGAAGAAAAATGACCAAACTACAGCAGAGCCATGTGAGTCTGGGGAAGCCCTCGGCCTTAGTTTTGTTTAGCCCCCATTGGGGTCCTTTTGCACACACCTATCCCATAAGCTCCCTCACAGCCTGGCAGCTGGAGCGGCGGTTAAGAGTAAGGGCCTCAGCCTCACACCGTGCTGGATCCGAATCGCCGTTTCTACATATACTTGCCATGTGCCCTTGGGCAATCGCTTAACTTTTCTGAGCCTCGATTTCCTCTTCAGTAAATATAACACTACTACTCTTGTAGGGTTGTTGTGTGGATTAAATAAGAAAAAAAGCTTTGCGAAAGCCTCAGTCAGTGAATGGTACATATTAAAATTCATATCTCATCCTCATTTTACTGATGAGAAGAAACTGGTACTCAGTGAGATTGTTCCATAGCTGGTAAATGGTAGAGCTGGGATTAGAACCTCTGGATGTCCACCCAGACCCTGCAGAGGTTGCCGTTTCCCTGGGAGATGGCCTGTGGCAGTGTGGAATGAGGCATCCCTCAGATCGGCCCTTTGGCCCTCCCCTGCAGCTGGCTCTGTCCTCCTTGGCCTGCCGCACTCACAGCCTCCACTCTGGGGACTTCTCAAAGGGTCACCTGGATGGCACCCCAATGACTCACTCTCTACCACATAGGGCAAGGGAATGGGGACCAATAGAGGAGACCCAGAGCAAGTGGAAGCCTCAAGTCTGGTGGGGGCTGGGAGAGGATGGTGATAGATGAAGAGCAAGGTGGGGGAGGGGCAGCGAGGACACAGGCCTCACGCCACCTCCTCCCCAGGAGCTGCGTGGCTGGGGCTCCACGGGCTCCAGCGCTGTGACTCTTGAATGCCTTTTCAAGAGGAGAAGCCCCGCACTCACAAAGTCTGCTCCTTCCTATCAGATAATGAAAACACATCCTTAAGCTTGTGGCAAATCCAGCTGTGAAATTTACTTTTCAAATATAATGTGATTATGAATTTATGATATTTGAATTACACCTCAAAGCTGTTATTAATGTATATAATTATAAAATATGTGTAGATGCACATATACATATGCACGCACATATGGGGATACTTTATACATATGCAGAGAGAGAGAGAATGGGATTGTTAAGAGCACTGGTTCTTACCCTTTACAAGCTGTCTGACCCTGAGCAAGAGGCTTAACTCCTTTTAGCCTCAATTTCCTCATCTGTACATTGGGGGTCATATAATAGAGTTGTTATGAGGATGGAAAAAAAATAATGAGTGGCAGGTCCCTGGCAGAGAATAAGCCCTCGATGAAATTAGCTATACTTTGCATCTATTTTAGCTATACAAGGCATATGTCATGGCCCCCATTTTATTTATTTTTATTCAGATGACAACTCCATTTTAGAATTGAGGAAACTGAGCCCAAGAAGACGGTATCTGGCACAGGTCTGAAGGGCAGCACCCTGTCTTACTCATGTCTGTGAGGCCGTGCATCGGTGGGGCTCATGAACGTTTGCAGAGTGAAGGGCGTTTTGCCCTTGCTGGCTCCACTCCAAAGCCTGGGCTCTCCTGTCAGGCAGGGCTGGGAGGCTGGGGAGGCTCTGGTGGCCCAGGAGCCCAGGCGCTGTGCTAGACCTCCCTACATTTGCTCTCACAGGAGGAACTCTCTCCCTACGCCAGCCAGGAGGAGAGGTTGGGCCCTCTGAGTATGTTGGCAAATTCTCGAGTCCTGGATGTGACTTTTCACGAGGCACATTCTAGGCTTGGTTGGTTAGGAAGGAGGTCAGGATCGTGGAGAGCCCCACTCTCACCTCGGTTAGGAGGTCAGGATCGTGGAGAGCCCCACTCTCACCCCAGCTTTACCCTGGAATTTTTTTTTTTTTTGGCTGGGTGACTAGAATGGAACTCATTCAGCAGGTCGCCAGCCTTAAGAGGTGGCAGGGAGTCGTGCTTTGAGCCATGGCTCTGCAGTCAGCTCGCTAGGCTTTCTCCTTTGCTACAGACTGCTTATAAGATCTTGGACACGTTACTTTACATCTGTAAGCCTCAGTTTCCTTATCTATAAAATGGGAATGCCAGCATCCTGACCCCAAGAATGTGGGAGGATTCAATGGGGTCACGCATGGGAAGTGCGATGCTTGGAGCCAAAACATGGAATGTGCTGTGTGAATACTGAAGCTGGGGTTGGAGGTCTGGCCCGGGACATGCGCGTGAATGCTCTCTCTGATCGGTAACCGTGGGATCAAAGTTGGTGATTATATTCCTTGACACTAGACTGCTGCCTGCAGACCTTAGGCCAAGGACTGCCGCCCGGGTGGGGGAGCAGGCAGTCACAGTTGGGGTCTCCCCACGCTCAGGGAATGCTTTCATGAAGCAGAAGGGAGGCCAGGAAAAGCAGAGAAGAGAAAAGAAAACCCCAGCAAATTCTGTCCTCCCCAGCTCTGCGGCTCCTGGGGGAACTGAGCTGCATAATACAGTGGGATTTAATAAAATGCCTTTAACTCACAAAGTTTGTCTGCTGCCAGCTCCTTAATTAAATTGCCTAATGCTGCTTTGCGATGGCAGCACAAACTCCTGTGTTTAAAGAGCACGGTGTTGCCATGGCACTCCCTACCCCCCGACAGGGCCAACGGGTGTGGAGGAGCATACAGATGAGGCGTGGGGCTGGCCTCTGCCCACAGTGTCCATCCCACACCCTGCATGTGTGTGTGCGGGCTCTGATTTTCCTGGGAAAGGATTTAATCCTTGCTAAGAATGCTGAGCTCGGGGAGACTCAGAGTGGGCACTTGAGCACTCGAGCAGAGCAGGCCCACCGGTGTGGCTGTGGCGAGGCCTGGGGCAGCCTTGCGTCTCTCTCTCATCTCCCCAGTCACAGGCTTCTGCTGCCAGTAGCTGCCTCCATACACCGTACAAACACTTTCTGCATGTACCACTACCTGAAAAGGGTCGGGAAGCACTGGATGAGAGTTTGCTAGGAAACGGGTAGGTTTTTTCACACATGGAGGGTGGAGGAAAGAGAAACTCACTTATGGATTTTTCTTTCAGATGCAGTGGTTCTCAGTCCTGGCTTCATGTTAAAACCAGTTGGAGATTTTTTTTTTTCTTCCAATATTTTATTATGAAAAATTTCAAATATACAGCAAAGTTGAAGGAATTTTATAGCGAGCAACCAATATACCTACCATCTACCAGATTCTACCATTAATCTTTTGCTAAAGTTGCTTTATCACATCTCTCTCCATCTGTCTTTCAATCCATCTTATTTTTGGTGTATTTCAAAGTAAATTGCAGACATCAGTACACTTTTCAATAAATACTTCATTATCAACAACTATGGATTTTACTTTTGTTTTACGAGTTTTCTTTCTTTCTTTCTTTTGATGTAAAGTTTGCATGCAAGGAAATCCTCGAGTTTTTTTTTTGTTTTTGTTTTTGTTTTTAGTACCACGTCCCCAGAGACTAGTGTAATTGGTCTGGAGTGGGACATAGGCATCAGTATATTTTAAAAGATTCCCCGTATGATTCTATTGTGCAGCCAGAGTTGAAAACAGGAGATAGTAGGAGGCCAAGGCTTCTCATTTTTATTTCCCCCATGCAGAATGTGTAGAGCTCTCCTGGCCACACTGAGCTGGCCACACTGAGGCCTGTGCCCTGCTTACCTGTCCATCCCCTCTCCCCTTCCTCCAGTGCTCTCCAGGCACGCATGCCATTTCCATGTTCATACTTTGTTCAGGGCGGACCTCTGTGTACATGCAAATCCACTTGTTCTCATGTTAGTATTATAATGGGTCTCATTGTCTCATGTATATTTCCTTATGGAAGAATCCATATCTGTTTCAAATTCTGTCCATGTTACAATGATGAAGCCATATAAATTTTCTTTTGATTATCAGGGTACTTATGATGACTAGGATTGGGGCAGTGGATGGAAGAGATGATGACGCTAGTAGAGGGTGTTCAGGGTGATATGTGGTGACAGCAGTGAGCACAGAGGTCCTGGTGATCACAGCTGAGGACAATGGCAGTGGTGGGGCTGGTCGTATTGATAGAGATGGTGAGCTGCAGATGGGGTGACCAGGTGATGGCATTATGCAGGTGGTTATCATGGTGACACTCTTGATGTCATCCTTCCTATGAGGGTGATGTGCACAAACAAATGCACATCTCATTTGCTCACTGATACCCACCCGGGAAGAATGTTGGTTTTTACATGGCAAGAGGTTTGGTCCCTCCATTGGGGAACCCTACTGCTACAAGGTACAGCCCCTTCTGAAAATCTGAGACCACCTGAGGACCTTCTCTCCGCTGGAGCCCTGGAAGAGGCCTAGACAGAGCGGCAGCAGCCCCATGCTCAGCCACCCTTTCCCACTGCACTTCAACAAGACGCGGCTCCAGTATTAAGTACAAGTGCATCATTAGGGACGTTTATTTAAAATGAACAGTTCTGGGAGCCAGCCGGACTTGGGATGCGAGCCATCTCATGATCAATAGAGATTTTATTTGCTGCCTGCATGGTTTCCTGTTTCTTCCATGCCTGGTACACTTTTGAAGAAGGACAGAGGAAAAGTGCTCTGGTTCTGCCCTCCCTTAACCCAGGCAGTAGGGGACAGAGGGGAGCAAAGCCACAATGTTTAACTGGCACCCTCTGAATTGTCCTGGGCTACAGGGCTGAGGTGTAAGAATGAGAATGCGGTTGGGCTGCTAAGACTTTTTTAAAATATATATATAAATAATCCCAGAGAACTATGCTGAAAATATCTTTAAAATGCCTTTTCTTTTACAGATGAGAAAACTTGGACCAAGTGGGAAGCAAATAAAATCCCTGTTGAGAACAATAAAAATACCCTTCGTGTATATAATATCTCTAATGAAGCAAAAACACCTTACACCTGTGATCTGATTGGATTTTTAGACCAGTCCTGTGAGCTGGCAGAGACCTTCCTGCCCATCTGACAGATGGCTCCTGAGTCCTTTCCCAGATTCTTTCCACTAGCTACAAGCCCAGGTGATATGTGTATAACATGTACAGCTCACAGTACATATTTCACACTCATGTTTTAATTTTATCTGTGCCACATCTCTGTACAAAAGAGAAAAGGTCTTATCCCCATTTTTCAGAGGAGAAAACTGAGGCTCCTAGAGGTTAAGCCTCCTGCCCAGGTTACACAATTTTACTGTGCAGAGTAGAAACTAGAATCTAAGATCCCTGTGCTAGTTTCCCAGGGCTGCCATATCAAAGTACTACAAACCAGGTAGCTTAAAACAACAGAAATCTGTTGTCTCACAGTTCTGGAGGCTAAAGTTCAAAATCAAGGTGTCAGCAGTACCATGCTCCTTCTGAAAACTATAGAAGCGAATTCTTCCTTGCCTTCTCCTGGCTTCTGGCCATGGCTGTCCATAGTATCGCTCCTAAGCTTGCGGCTGCAACGCTCCAATCTCTGTCTCCATCATCACATGGAATGCTCCCAGTGTCTCTGTCTGCATCTGAACTCCCTTCTTCTTATAAGGACACCAGTCATTGGGTTAGGGTCCACCCTAATCCAGTACGACCTCATCTTCACTTGACCACATCTGCAAAGACCCTATTTCCAAATGAAGGTCACATTCACAGGTACTGGGGGTTAGGACTGGGGGACACAGTTCAACCCATAACAGTCCCTGACCCAAGCTAGTGGTCTTCTACAACGTGCTCTTTGCATCCCGGGCTCCATCGCATCCCTCTTCTCCCCGTCTTTTATGATCAAGGACGAGATGCTCCCCTTTCTTGCAATGCAGAAAGTGGAGCTGGCTGGCAGCACTTTTCATCTTCTGCTCTTCCCAAATTATTACAAGCTACTGAGGTAGAATCATGAAATATAGGTGAGCTTTCTGTCTTTTTTATTCCCAGACAGTAAAAATCATTAAGGCTTGCTCTTAATTAGTTTAATTTTGAAGCTTCTAAATATTGATTTAACCTACACTCTTTTGTACTTGCCGCAGCCCCTGAATTATGCCTATTATTGATCGCAGATGGAAGTGTTTCCAGCCACTGGCTCTATGGCCCTAGGATCCGCTGGTCTTCCAGCGGGTGTGCTGGGCTTGGAAAGCACAGATGGGCTGCGGGGAGAGGGAGCCTTGGCCAGATTGGAAAGGGCCTTACCTTGAGGAAGGGCTGCTCAGCGTAGGCCAGGAGCCAGTTTCTTTTGGGTTGGTTGGGCTCAGTGGAGTTTGGATAAGGAGAAGTCAGCTGGAAATCTCCCCATCCCATTCCAGGCAGCGAGGGCTGGGGGAATGGGGGTCAGGGTTTAGAGCACAGGCTTTGGCACGAGCCACAACCAAGTTGGAGTCCTGGCTTGGCCAGCTGGATATTCGTGAGCATTTCACATCTGTGAAAGGGGCTAGTCATCCCAAGTCATAGTGTCGTTATGAGCATTCGGTGCAGCGACTCGTGTCAGGCCCCTAGTCCAAGGCCCGGCTCATGAGCAGTCCTCATCAATGGCTGCCATCATCATTCCTGCCGTCCTACCGGAGACGAGACTTAGTCCTGGCAGCACGCTGTATTTTCTAGCCCTGGCTCCATTTCGCATTTGCTGTATGACCTTGGGCAAGTCACTTAATATCCTTCCCACTAAAATGGAGGTAATGACATCTATGACCTTGCAGGGCTAGTGTGAAAAATCACATAGGATGGTGATTGTGGATGAATTTAAATTGCAAAATGCATCCAGTCCTAACCGATTATGATCATTGATGGCTATAGTGGTCCCTACCTTACATACCCGCTTCGGCCACCCTCTGAGTGCACTATGGTGTCCAGACCGTTCTGGCTCTGGCCTGCTGCTCCAGCCGCCTCCCCACCTTACCCACACTCTTGGGACTTCCCGGAAGCCGCTTCTTGGAATCTGCTTCACACATTCTTATCCCAGGACTTTGCTCCCGATGTCCCCAACATGTATACAGTGCCTTCCACTCTCTGTACCTGCGAACCTGATTGAGGCAACGTTTCCCTTGTGATTTTTTTTAAGCAACTTTAATGAAGTTGTGAATTTGCATTCCATCAAATTCACCCACCTTTAGCATATAATTCAATGATTTTTGGTAAAAGTCCTCTGATTTTTTTTGCCCAACTACCCACGTGAAACAGAATCGTGGTCTTTCCTCTGGGCTGTGCCCCTGTTGCCCTGGGTAAATGCTCCTGTGACACCATTTATCATGCTACAGTAGAGTGGTTTTTATCTGTGACTCCCCTCCTGCCCTCCCATAACCATGTACCCCCAGCCCCTCTCAGTGCCAGCACACAGTCAGGGCTCTGTGAATGCTCATTGGGTAGAGTTCCTTGTGGCCAGGACAGAGAAGGTGTCGGGGTGGGGGTGGAAGCGGTTCTGGAAACTCCAGTCTTATCTGTCAGGATAATGATAAAAAGCCGTGTACATATACATATTCAGAATTCTAATCTCAGCTAGAGGGACCTTAGCAACTAGCCCTGTGATTCTCAAATAGAAGCATTGATCAGAAGCACCTGGAGGCTTGTTCACACACTGGTTACTAGGCCCCACCCTCAGAGGCTCTGAGTCAGGAGGGCTGGGGTAGGCCTGGGAACCTGCATTTCTAACAAGTTTCCAGGTGATGCTGATCTTACTGATCCAGGGACCACAGTTTTAGAACCTCTCATTGCTCTGGCCCAACCCTCTCATTTCATGGGTGAGGAGCCCAAGGCCTAGAGAACTAAGAGGACATATTCCAAGGTCTGTCCCCAGGCCACGTCTTGTGTCCTCAACCACCGATTCCCGTGCCCCGACTCCTGCTTCCCCCTCTGGCTTCAGAGAAGTAGGATGAGGTGGGCAGAAGGTCAACAGAGCTGAGAAATGCTCTCCACGGGCCTGGCCCTCAGCTGGGGAACGGGGAGCGAGGAGGGGCTGCTGAGGGAGAGGCCAGTGGGATTGGAGAGGGGACCAAAGGAGGGGGACCAGGCGAAGGGATGGCCAGAGCAGGCCTTCAGGAGGTGGTGAGGACTGACAGGTCATTCTCACTGCAGTTGGGGGGAGGGGGGAACCAGCCGCGGCCTCAGCTGCAGCCATTTATCTGGCAGGCCCGCCTGCGACAGCTGACAGAGGGAGCAGGCAGTGAGCCCCGCGCGGAGACCAAGGCTCCTTCCGCCGCGTGATTTATCTCTCAGCTTCATCTGGCAAACCTGCTGATGAAACGAGTCTCCTTTTCTCTCCGCCTCATCAATTTTCATTCTGATTTCATTTTCCTTTTCCGTTAGAAGGGCTTTGGCCTTTCTCCTTGTTTAACTGGTCTGCTCCCCATTCGATCCGCAGCCCTTTCTCCTCAGCCATCCAGGCATCTCCCTACCACCTCCACCCCCACCATGCCCTGGGGGTCCCTCCCTCCGTGCCACAAACACTGTGGAGAGAGAGAGACCCAGACCTCCCCATCTAAGTCCCCATTCACCTCAAACACAACCAGAAGATCTATTGGTGCTTTCCTTTTTATTAGTTCTGGGACCACGAAGCCACAGAGCTGCCCCGGAGCACCGCACAGTCTGAAAGGAGAGATGAGCATCATACTGGATGTGAATTCTTCGAAAATACAGAAAGGAGCAAGGGGTTAATTAACTGGGGAGGCGGGTGGATGGCTGTGTCAGGGAGGACTTCAGAGAGGTGCAGTGCAAACTGAGACTTCGGCAACGGGAAGACGTTCCCCAGATTCACAGATGAAGAAAGCAACTTCTTGGCACAGACCCCGTGTGTGCAAAGGCACTGGGGCAGGAAAGAGTATTGCCCACATCTCTCTAAAGGCTTCAGCCTCCTTCCCCTGCCCTTGCTCCTAGCTCCCAGGGATCCACTGTGTCTAAAGGGATATCCTGGTTTCCTGGCTGTGGGTGGGAGCCTTTCAAGAATGCTGCAGCATCTGCCCAGCAACCCCACCTGATTCTTAAAAGAGCAGGTGTAATTATGGGAAGGGAGGCTGGAGAGGCTTATGGGACAGTGCCTGGGCTTGGCTGCCCCTCTGGCTTGTGGCTGTGTCCAGCATGGAATGATCGCAGACTGCCGTCAAGCTGGGACATTTAGAACTCAGCTGGAGGGGGCTGCTCTATCGACCCTTCCCGGGAGCAAGCATCTGAGGAAGGGAGGAGCTGCTCAGCTAAGCCAGGACCTAAGTTGTTTACTGGGTGAGAGTCTATCAGACATCTCTGCTCTACAAATGAACTGAGCTGCTCTGGAAATGGGACCTAGGTGGAGGCTCTGGGAAGTGCTTGTATTCGAGCCAGGAGAGAGCAGCTCCGTCCGGAAGGAGCGTCAGCCTGCGGTGGAAGCAGGCGTTCCTAGGAGAGGATGCCTGCCTTCAAGGCCACACGACCATCCGGTGCTGGCCTGGTACAAAGGGGTCTAGAAACCAGGGATTGTGCCTCAAACTGAGGTGGAGAAAAAGGGAAGGGGACTCTACTGAGCGCCAGGTGCTTTACAGACATCCCCCCATGAGGTAGGAGAACCTGAGTGAGGAAGCTCCAGGTCACACAGCCAGCCTCAGGATCCCGGTGACGAGCCGCCTCGAAAGCCTTCAGAGAGGTCGGTGGAGTGCACAGGATTTCTGGATGGGGAACCTTAGAGCTCCGGAGGGTGAGGATCATCGTAGGAACCTGTTGAATCCAGAAGCGGAAACCTGAGAGAGAGAGAAGTACCTTCTCCACCCGGAGAAGGCTTTAAGTGGCTGTCAGCAGCCAGAGGCAGGGGCAGGGCAGCCAGGGTGGGTGCCCAAGGAAGACGGGCCCTGGGAGCCATGTGCGTCTCCTTCCGGTTGGCGAGGAAGGAGGAGGAAGGGGCCTGAGCCCAGACTCTGATCCACCTGGTCTTCACGAGCTCCGAAACAACCGGCCCCCTTCCTCTCTCCCTGCCCTTCCTTGCCTTTCTTTCCCTCCTTCCTTCTCTCTGTAGACATCTTCTGAGCTTCTACGATGTGCCAGACAGTTGGAGGAACTGGCAGCTTGGAGCACAGGTCCTTCCCCTGAGGGGCTCACTGTCTGGTGGGGGAGACAGACAAGGAAACAGGCAGGTTGTGATGGAGGGGTGCTGTGGCATCAGGGGAACCCAGGAGAAGGAGAGCTGGAGGGGTCAGAGAAGTTTCCTGAGGATGATCAGCAGAAGCCTGGCAACCCACGGCGGTGGGACTTTCCGGCCCGGCACTGCTGTCCGGCCCGACAGGCTGCCTCAAAGCCTGGCAACCCATGGCGGTGGGACTCAGCCCGGCACTGCTGTCCGGCCCGACAGGCTGCCTCCACTCCCCCGCAGTGAGACCAGGCAGAAATGACTTTGTGTGCTACCTACTGGTGCCCTCCACTTCTAATTAAGAAATAACGAGGCAAGCTCCCTTCCAGGCATCAGAGCTCGGACACCCTCTGCCTGGGCCAGCCCGGAGGCCTGGGAAGAGAGAGAGTTATGTATGCTTAGGGACAACTCTCTTCCCTCCCAGGCCCAGGAAGGAGTTTTTACCAGAACACTGACTCCTCTCGCTCCAGAGGCAGGAAGGGCACAGGTGGACGTGAGAAACCTCATCCTTCCCCAGGAGATGGGCTCCGATTTCCTTCCCCGCTCTCCCCCTGTCTTCTCCTGCCAACTATCATCCACTCTCGGAAGTCAGCTTCTGACACCAGAATCATGGAAAGAGAAAGGGCTGACAAATGAGACACACCTGGACTCATATCCTGGCTCTTCCACATTTTGCTGTGAGACCTTGGTCTGATTCTTCAGCTCCACTGAGTTTGGGGTTTCTCATCTAAACAGTGCTGCCCTCCCAGGATTTTTGGGAGGATGGGGGGAGACATACAGCATGGCCAGCAAATAGAAATCCCGGCACACAGAAGGCACTCAAGAACGTCACTCTGAGACTTAGGTCATCCTTCCAGTCATGTCAACTGGAGTTGAAGGGACTCACCTTTCCAAGAAATGCTCAGTAGAATAATTGTTCTCAAGCTTTTGTAGCTGCGACCCCGCCCCCGCAAAAGCATAATTTTTATTGTGTCCCTGTAAACTGTTTATGTGTGTATAAAATAGGAGGAAAAACTTCTCAAAACAATGCTTAGTCTAGCTACAATGCACTCTGATATTTTCTATTTTATTTCTTTTCTTTAATGCAGATTGTGACCCACTTTAAATTGTTTTCATGACCCACTAATGGGTTGCCCTTCACAGTTCATGGCTGTAGAACACTTCCCACCCCTGCAGGGAAAATCTGCACTGCACTAGGCTCTGGGAATGCAGAAATCAATAACAAACCATCCTTTCCTCAAAGAGCTCACAGCCTGACTGGGAAGACAGACCTGCAGTCTAACAGCAAGAAAGGTGCCGTGGCGGAAGTCTGTTCAGAGTCTCAGGGACTGTGGGGGGTGGGGGAGTAGGGTAAACACCCTTCTAAGGGGATCAAGGAAGGTGGTACACTGGGAGATGGCATTTGGGATGGGTTTTTATGGCTGAAGAGGAGTCTGGTCGTTGAAGTTGGGGCAGGGCTTTGCGGGCAGCACGATGCCTGAGTTTTGGAAGGAAATAGCAAGTGGGAGCATAAGATATCTGAGAATGAGAGGGTCACTTCAGGGTGAGGAGGAGGGGTCAAAGAGGCTCTCATAAGGGTAAGACAAGAGATAAAAGGAAAGTGGAGCACTGTGGGGTGTGTGTTTGTGAGGTGGGAGAGGGACAGGTCAAGGCAACAGAGGTCTGTTCTCTTGGAGACAGGTGGCTGCTGGTGCTAAGAGATGGGACGGAAGAAACAAGAGCAGGTTTGGTGGGAGATGCTGGGTTTGGGCCAAGTTGAGTGTGAGGAGCCTCAGACACGGCCAGGTAGAGAGGTCGGGGTAGTCAGAAGTGAGTCTGGGCCCCTCCTTCCTGGCCGCTCCTCAATTTGCCCTCTTGCCTAGCGCCCCAGAACTCTGTAACGAGAAGACCTGGGGGTCTGCAGCAGAAAATGGGGTGAGCAGTGCTGCCCTAGGAAGTGGCCAAGACCAACCAGGGCTTTGGGGAGGGGAAGTTAGCTGAGAGTCACAGGGCTGCCGGGGGTACATGGGGCCAGGAGGTCATCCTGCCATCCTCCTGCCTCGAGGCAGCTAAGCACTCATAGGCCCAGGCCACGGGGGTGCAGCCAGAGCGGGGTCCTAAGGCACAGAGCGATTTCTAGATAAGGGAAGTATAGAAGGAGAGAGAGGAATCAGCCTCTCTGGAGATGGCCGATTATGCATGAGGCCCGGAGAAGCTATAGCCCCTCAGGATTAAGTGAATTTCGTCTGATGTTCTGGTGTTCCCTAAAGTGTCTAAAGACTGTGGTCCCAAGTTGTGATGGAAAAGTGGGGAGTCTGGGTTAACGCATGAAACGGACTGATGGCAATAGAAGTCAAGACACTGGCCAGCTCCAAAGGGGGCTGCATATGGACTGGGAAGAAGGTTCCCAGGAAACTTCTAGAATGCTGGAAATATTTATCTTGATCTGGGTGGTGGTTGTACTGGTATTTACCAATGTAGAAATTTGCTCAGGTATACACTTAGAATTAGTGCCATTTGTGCACTCTCCTATAGCTCAGTGGCATTTTTAAAAAGATTTATTACAAAAGGTGAGCGATGAGAAGTGGGTGGTAAGAATGAAAGGTAACAGTGATGGGGGCTAAACAGACACTGCCTATCCCCACAGCCTGCGCGCCCCACTGACGCTCCTGAGCACCGTTTTATCCCTGTTCTCCAGCTTGGCCGTTAGAGGTTCAGAGGGTTACCCACTTTGCCCAAGGTCACACAGCGAGTTAGAGCTGGCTCAAGCTGATTGCAAAGCCCAGGCTTCTTGCTCCACCACTCCTCCTTTGCATAAGTTATTTATGGAATTCCGGCTCCAGAAGAGTACATAAACTCTGAGGTCTCCTTCAGCTCTGAAGTCCTGGTTGTCTGTGATTAAATGAGAAGTGGGAGTAAGGGGCCATGCTCGCCTCCCAGGAGGAGCCGAGGCCAGGTGAACAGATGCGGGGCTGGCCTCCCTCCCTCCGCGTCCCTTCCACCCAGGGCTTATCTGCTGGTGAGGAGGCCGGAGTTTATCAACGCTACACTCAATTATGCTGCCCATCTGTCTCCGCAGCTCAGGGGGACCTAGCACTCAAGCGGAGAAGGCCAGGCAATCGATCACCGATGCCTGCCCGCTCCTCCCTCCACACCCTGGGCTCCGGGGGGCGGGGCGGAGTCTGCCGGAAAGGGGAGAGGAGTGAGGAGGGGCAGGGAGAGGCAGCCTCCACCAGCGGGCGGAAGGAGCAGTGATCTAAATGTGGCAGGAGCACAGGACTCTGAGGAGGGAAAAACAGCTCTGGCTACTGACAACAGTTTCCCCAATCTCTTCATTTTTTTAGAGCTTTGCCAAGAGCCTTAGTTTAATAGGGAGTGTAGGGGATCAATGCTGCACTTTCTGCTAAATCCAGAGCAGCTTCCTGGAGGAGGTGGGTCTAATGGAGCTTGCTCCTGGAGTGGGCAACTTTACTTCCCTGACTGTGGCCTCAGGGCTTTCTGCCTCCTGTCACTGAAGGCCCTGCTGCCCGCAGTGCTTGCACAAAGAGTGGCCCCCAGCCCTATGGCAGGCTGGGCTGTGAGGCCTGCTGGCTCTGTTTGCCCCTGTGGCTCCGGGCCCAGTCGAACTCACACAGGAACCATGTCTTCCTCATGCTGTCCCCCCAACAGGTCACTCTAGCTGGGAGTCAAGGAATAGTGTCTGAGGGGCCTGGCAGCCATCAGGGTGGAGGAACCGAGGACCAAGGCCATCTCGGAAGGGATTTGCGCCTGGGGCTGGCTCCCTCTGCCAGTCCCGCGCTCTGCTCCTGTAAGGCAGGCATTGATCCACCAGGCAGCAAACACTGGCCAGGCTGGTGGGGCCAGACCTGAGTTTGAATCCTGACCTTGCCATGTAGAAGCTGTGAAACCTCTGACTAGTCACTTAACCTCTCAGAGCCTCGATTGCTTCCCCTGCAAAAGGAAACTAAATAATCCCTCTTCCTCCTATACACAGGGCTGTGAGATTATACGTTTCACTCGTGAGTGCCCTCTCATGCTCAGTCCTACACCTGGTGCTATGCGGGCACACACAGCCCGTCAGACACGGCCCCTGCCACAAGGAGCTTGAAATCCAGTTGTGGGAAATGTACACGTGATGGTCTGAACTCCCGCTCACCTGGGAGAGTATGCATAAAAGACAATTAGCTTTCTCTGAGCTCCCAGCAGAAATTGCTAATCAGCCTGCCTGAGTGGGCCGTGTGCAAGACAGCCTTAAATGGTGATGGCAGGTGAGTGGGCAGCTCTTGAGTTTCACCCTAGAAGGGGCTGTGTATTCGGCGGTGAGGGGGAGGACTCATCTGGGCCTTTGCCAAGTCTTGGGCTCAGAGGTACTATGCGAACATGAGTCATCGAGCTGCTGCCTCTCCCTGGGTGCTGAACCCCAGGCCCGGGCTCTTGGGGAGGAGAAGGAGTGATGCCTCACTCACCTAGTGCAGCCAGAGAGGGCAAGGAGGAGGGTGCTGCTGAGGGTGCAGGGAAAGGCCAGTCTCTGGAGGTTTTTAATTAAGTTTTAAATGGTTTCTCCATCACAGAGGTGTTAGAACAAGGTGCTGGAGGACAAGAGACGCCTGGGGTTCAGACAGGGCCTGAAGGCTAGGGTTGCTGGTGGCCCAGCTGTAGGCCCCTCTCCACCCACTGCAGCCTTCTCTCTGCCTGTGAACAGTCTCGGGCTCTCCGAATTGTTTTTGCATTTCCGGTCCTGCCAGAGGGGCACTCTTTAAAGGTATGACATATGTATTGTCTATTTCTGCTCACAGCTTTCACCCCACCACCTGGGGGCAACACCGAGCACACAATGGGCAAGTTTAATGGAGGCTAGTGGAGCTCTAGGGTCCAACTTCTGCTGCCCCAAAGAAGTCCTAGAAGGCCTCCCAACCCTGGGGGGGTGAGCAGAGCTGGAAGGGAACTAACATTTATTGAGCTCTTTGTGTAACACACTCAGCTCCTTTAATCCTAATGACAACTTCATTTTATACATAAGGAACAGACGCTCAGAAGTCAATAACTTTTCCCAGGGTGCTCTGATAGGAAGTGGTAAGTACCTAATAACAGTAAGATCTCCTTGCTGGTGGGTTTTGCTCTCTCATGCCAGGTTTAGGCAGGAAGCAGGACCTCTGGCCTTAGATCCAGTTCCATGACAGGGCCCATCAGGGACTCAGCTTGTCTCCGCTTCTTCTCTGCCCACAGAATCTCCTCTCTCGGTCCCGACTAATGGTCACAGGCTTGGGCGGCCAGGTTTCTCTAGCACCCCCCCCTTACACATGTATGCAGGCATGCATGCATGTGTGCATGTGTGTTTGTTTGCCCTGATTTTTCCGTGTCAGTGCACACACACCCCTACACAAAACCTCTGTGCATTTTAAGTCACAGTTGTTTCCCCACCTTTAGAAATAGCTGCAAAAGAAGGTGGGAAGTAGTCAGATGTAAATAGGCATGCCACTGTCCTGCCGAGGGAGGGTACAGGCTTCCAAGTGCTGCCCTCCCCCATTCCATGTCCTAGAATTGGGGTGAAGTGAGCAAAGAACCCCTCTGGCCCACTAAGAGTCACCTGCCTGGAAGGTGGCAGGAGACACATATCCCAGCTTCCCAAAACTCCCTGGTAAGGAGTCATCGCCCCAGGAGACAAGAATGGGCACCCACAGTGCTGCTGTAGCTGCCGCTGCACCCCATGGTGCCCAGGATAGGTTCAAGCCAGGCCTGGGGGCCGAGAAGCATGGTGTAAATGGCACAAGCTCTGGACTTGGGTGAATTCCTGTCTCTTGCCGCTCACTAGCTATGTGTTTTAAGCTAAATTCTCTAATCTCTTCTGAACCTCAATTTCTTCATCTGCAACTAGGGATATTAATGCTTATCTTGTAGACTAGTTATGAAGGTTAAAAAGACAAAAAAAGACATTTAGAGTCTTTGAAGAGTCCAGGCAAATCATGTACGCTTCTCTGACACCTATAGCTGGAAAACTCCCCGAATCAGACCTCCACTCAGGCCAGGCAGTCAGGCCAGGCCCAGGAAACCTCCTTTTTCCCCCATCCCAGTTGTGGGCCAAGGCTGGACTTGCCTCCAGCGTGATGCAGCCTACCTGTGAGGTCTGAGAGAACCTGGCTTGGTTCCCTAGATTGGGAGGGAATGAGCAGCAAGGGCTTGCATTATAGGTGGGGGTACGGGTGGGGCCCGATCTTCTAGGGGAAGGGGCCCTGAGCCACAGAGATTGATTCATACAATAAACACTCAGTGGGCACCTGCCCTGTGCTACAAGCACAATGATGAGTAAGACAGGTCCCTACATGAGGAGACATTTGCACGTAGCGTGGTCAGGGCTGTGATGGAAGGAGACGTAGGGCCCTGTAAGAGCATCAAGCAGGCGCCTCAGCCAGGCGGGGGTGGGGGAAGAGTTTTCAGTAGGAGATGACTGACCTTGAGTCTTGAAGAACAGGTAGGGGTTGCCTAGGAGACATGAGAAGGGGGGCATGTCAGGGTAACTTCAGCCTGTAAGGGTTGTGCATGGTCGGTAAGTGGGCTGGCAGCAAGAGAAGCCAGGAGAAGCGGCTGGGGCCAGAGTCACACACCTGCAGGGCTGAGGAGCTCAAACCTGGGCTGCTGGGCGAGGGAAAGCCCTGCCTCCGAGTAGGGTAGTCGACACAAACTTAAGCAGGTCCCAAGCAGGACCACCCTGTTCCCCAGCCTGTCTAGGTGTGGGGTCTGGGGCTACTGCCTTTCAACTTCGGGAGTCCTGGGAGCCCCCCTGGAATTTAGAAGCTGTGCTCATTGCCACCATCCCCTGCCCACACCACTCGGAGAGATGTCTGGAAGCTACCACTCTATCTTCCATTTACTGAGAGAGCCAAGGAGGCGGGGAAGAGATGTAAGAAAGCTTAGGGACTCTATTCCACATTTCCCTGGACTCAGAAGGACTCTAAAGACGACAATAATGGCAGCCATTCCCTCTCCTCCACATACACACCTTTCCCAAGAATCCTGGAAGTTTCCAAGGCCCAATCTCTCCCTCCTTCCCTGAAGACTCACAGCCACTCACTCCCCCTGCAGTTCACAGAAAAGGACACTAAGGCCTAAGCACTGTAGGGTGGAACCCAGGAGCCCTGGCCCTGTCCACCCCTCTCAGCCTCTTTGGCCTCGAGTCAGACATGGGAGACGGGAGGAGGGACTAGATTCCGCTTCTCTGCCACATGCTTAACTCTGCCTCCTCTTCTCCAGGGCCGTCCCAGTGGGGCATGGCGATGAGTGAGCAGGCCCAACGGACAAGGATGGAGAGCCGCACCCATGAGGGCAAGAAGTGATGCCCACCCATCCTCACCCCAAGTAGCATGACTGCCCTGGGAGGAGGGGTCCTCAGGCCCTGGCAGGCTGCTGACCCTCAGCCTGCAAACCGCTAAAAGCAGGACTCCAGACTTTTCCTGTGGATGGTCCCCTCCCCTGCAGCTCCACCATGAGGCTCCTTGTGGCCCCCCTTTTGCTAGCTTGGGTGGCTGGTGCTACTGCTGCTGTGCCCGTGGTACCCTGGCGTGTGCCCTGCCCCGCTCAGTGTGCCTGCCAGATCCGGCCCTGGTATACACCCCGCTCATCCTACCGCGAGGCCACCACCGTGGACTGCAATGACCGATTCCTAACGGCCGTGCCCCCAGCGCTGCCTGCCGGCACGCAGACCCTGCTACTGCAGAGCAACGGCATCGTCCGCGTGGACCAGGGTGAGCTCGCCTACCTAGCCAACCTCACAGAGCTAGACCTGTCCCAGAACAGCTTTGCGGATGCCCGAGACTGTGATTTCCGTGCCCTGCCCCAGCTGCTGAGCCTGCATCTGGAGGAGAACCAGCTGACCCGGCTGGAGGATCACAGCTTTGCAGGGCTGGCCAGCCTGCAGGAGCTCTATCTCAACCACAACCAGCTGCACCGCATTGCCCCCCAGGCCTTCGCTGGCCTCAGCAACCTGCTTCGGCTGCATCTCAACTCCAACCTGCTGAGAGCCGTGGACAGCCGGTGGTTCGAGATGCTGCCCAACCTGGAGATCCTCATGATCGGCGGCAACAGGGTGGATGCCATCCTGGACATGAACTTCCGGCCCCTGGCCAACCTGCGCAGCCTGGTGCTAGCAGGCATGAACCTTCGGGAGATCTCTGACTACGCCCTGGAGGGGCTGCAAAGCCTGGAGAGCCTCTCCTTCTACGACAACCAGCTGGCCCAGGTGCCCAGGCGGGCGCTGGAGCAGGTGCCCGGCCTCAAGTTCCTGGACCTTAACAAGAACCCGCTCCAGCGGGTGGGGCCGGGAGACTTCGCCAACATGCTGCACCTCAAGGAGCTGGGGCTGAACAACATGGAGGAGCTGGTTTCCATCGACAAGTTTGCCCTGGTCAACCTCCCTGAGCTGACCAAGCTGGATGTCACCAACAACCCCCGGCTGTCCTTCATCCACCCCCGCGCCTTCCACCACCTGCCCCAGATGGAAACCCTCATGCTCAACAACAATGCGCTCAGTGCCTTGCACCGGCAGACGGTGGAGTCCCTGCCCAACCTGCAGGAGGTGGGTCTTCATGGCAACCCCATCCGCTGTGACTGTGTCATCCGCTGGGCTAATGCCACAGGCACCCGTGTCCGCTTCATCGAGCCGCAGTCCACCCTGTGTGCTGAGCCGCCAGACCTCCAGCGCCGCCCAGTCCGAGAGGTGCCCTTCCGAGAGATGACAGACCACTGCCTGCCCCTCATCTCCCCACGCAGCCTCCCCACCAGCCTCCACGTGGCCAGTGGAGAGAGTCTGGTGCTGCACTGCCGGGCGCTGGCTGAACCGGAACCTGAGATCTACTGGGTCACTCCAGCTGGGGTTCGACTGACAGCTGCCCGTGCAGGCAGGAGATACCGGGTGTACCCTGAGGGAACCCTGGAGCTGCGGAGGGTGACAGTGGAAGAAGCAGGGCTGTACACCTGTGTGGCCCAGAACCTGGTGGGGGCTGATACTAAGACAGTTAGTGTGGCGATTGGCCGGGCTCCCCTGCAGCCAGGCAGGGACGAGAGATGGGGGCTAGAGCTCCGAGTGCAGGAGACGCACCCCTATCACATCCTGCTATCTTGGGTACCCCCACCCAACACTGTCTCCACCAACCTCACCTGGTCCAGCACCTCCTCCCTCCAGGGCGGGGGGGCCACTGCTCTGGCCCGCCTGCCTCGGGGCACCGATAGCTACAACATCACCCGCCTCCTTCAGGCCACAGAGTACTGGGCCTGCCTGCAAGTGGCCTTTGCTGATGCCCACACTCAGTTGGCTTGTGTGTGGGCCAGGACTAAAGAGGCCACTCCTTGCCACAGAGCCTTAGGGGACCGACCTGGGCTCATAGCCATCCTGGCTCTGGCCATCTTCCTGCTGGCAGCCGGGCTAGCAGCCCACCTCGGCACTGGCCAGCCCAGGCAGGGGGTGGGTGGGCGGCCTCTCTTTCCAGCCTGGGCTTTCTGGGGCTGGGGTGCCCCCTCAGTCCGGGTGGTTTCTGCACCCCTTGTCCTGCCCTGGAATCTGGGAAGGAAGTTATCCAGGTCCTCAGAAGGGGAGACACTGTCATCCCCATTGTCACAAAATTCCTGGAGCTCAGCCTGTCCTCAGCAGTAGAAAAATGACTAGGACTACGTTTTACCAAAAGGGAAGCAATTTGGGCCAGATGCCCTGCCAAAAAAGTGACATGGACCCACATGCTTGAGGCCTGGCAGCTGGACCAAGACAGACCAGGCTTTGTGGCCCCAGGGGCTGCTCCTGCAGCCTCCAGAACGTGGCCCTTACCTTTTGGGGGCTCCTCTGCTGCCTTTTTGAGGAGCATCTGCAAGGGACAGAAGGACTCTGGCTAGAGCCTTCCACCTCCCCACTTGTCTACATGGCCAGAGGCCCCCGGATGTCCCCTGCCTGTGTCCCCAGGCCCATGGCCCACAGGATGCACCCCTCCTCTTCTCTTTCATCTGTACAGTCTCAGTTGCTTGCTCTTTCCCCTCCTGGGCAAGGGCTGACGGAGGCCTCTCCTCCCATCTTGGGGGACTGCTCCCAGAGTGGACCCCAGGCAGGCTCCGAAGGACATTTGGAAAGGGGATGCCCAGGACCGCCTCCTCTCGGCGCCCCGGTTGGCACTCTGAGGTTGACTTTCTATAGGCAATTTTGTACCTTTGTGGATAAATGTGTCACCTCCCCCCAACCCAATTCACTCTTTTCTCCTGTTTTGTAAAAAAAATAAAACTAAATAAGAACAAGAGTAATAAGGGGGAAGGGAACAAAAGGGAACTAGTCCCTTGAATACTGGGTGTAAGTCAGAGCTCTCTGCTCCGGCGACCCTTCGAAGCCCAGAAGGCGACAGAGGGAGGACCTGGGAGCGGAGAGGAGGGAGGAGAGAGCAAAAAACGGCAAAAGAGGGCGAGGGGGCTCAGATAGTTCCCTTTAGGTTTGGATTCCGGTCTCCCCCAGAAAGTCCCCATAACTGTGAGCAGCAGAGCCAGGGGAAGGCGGACAAAAAGCAGGAGAGGCTGACGAGAGGGAGGAAGCACAGGAGGCAAGGAAGGAGCGGGGTGGGGAGAAAAATGGAGAAAAAGCAAGAGGTGGAGGGAGTGGAAATTTCCATCACCAAACATTGTCACCCCTTCTCGTTCTCTGATAAGCAATTAACATGCCAGTGCATAAGAAGCACTTCTCAGACCTATTTCTAATTAAACAAACCTAAGAGGCAGAATCATGCAGAGAATTGCAAATCATCAAGACAGCAAGAACTTGGGCTCACTGGGGCAGGAGGGGGTGTGGGGCGATAGAGGATTTGGGGAGGGGAGGGCTGTGGGACAAGGAAATCACTGCATTTATCTTTCCGGTCCATTTCAATATAATTTGCTATGAGCCTGATTTGCTTCTGCAGTATTAAAAAAAAAAAAACAAATTGACTTCTGAGGACCAAGTGTGAAGACGACATCTGTTGGAAAGGCAGCAGAGGCAAGGGGAGGGGCTGCTGTGGCCAACCCAGGGGGCAGCTCCCGAGCCAGAGGCCCCTGGCCATAGCATTTGTTTCTGAGTTAAGCTGGGAAAAGTCATGGGGCTCCTGAGACTGAAAAGAAGCAACGCGAGCCTAAGGACCCCTGTGCTATAGACACATTCAGCAGACTTATTAGAGGCTGCTCTAAGCTGCCATCGAGAGTCAAATGTACACACCGGTGGAAGCCAGACCAGGAAACAGCATCGGGCCCTACGGGACCTACAAAGAGCACACGCACCCCAAGCCAGAGGGTAATGTTCCTTTCTCTGTGAACACAGGAGAGCAGGGTTCTCTGAAGACCTTCCGCAAACAGCCAGTTTAGAAGTCTTCTTCCTCTTGAGCAGGTCAACCTGTCTCAGAACCACCCCAGAGTTTTCTAAACACAGATGGCTGGGCCCATCCCCAGAGTTTCTGGTCTAGATCTGGGTTTAGATCTAGACCTGAGAATTTGCATTTCTAAGAAGTTTTCAGGTGATGCTGATGCTGCTGGTCTGGGGACCACACTTTAAGAACCTCAGGGCTCCAGCCTGGGGTGGCTAGAATGTCTCACTCCTGCTCCAGGCCTCCAGGAGAGGGCTGGGGAAGGGGCTGGAGGATGATTCCTCCACTTCTCCCCTTACTGGTGGGCTGCTCAGGTCAGCAGGATCCATTCACAGATGCTCGTTTCCAAGGGCAGGTGGTGTATTCTTTAGGGGAGGGGGCTGGGCAAGCAGAGACATGACATACCCAGCCCCTTACCCTCCTGATACCCATGGCCCACACTCCTGAGCCTGCACAATCCCTCCTTGATGAACTTTGGGATCCCCATGGCTGCATTCTGGGCAGCCCCGCCAGCCGGCTAAAGCTGGCCAGTGGGATCTAGCCTGTTCACCATCTGTGAGGTTTGGATTTGTTCTCTGTGACCCAGCAGGTCTGTGGGGAAGAAGCAGGGCAGCGCCTATGTGGATCACGAAGAACTGGAGTCAGAAATCAATGCCTCTTTTCCTTTAGGACGATCGGCAGTCGCTGCCTTTCCGCATGGGCCCACGTGGCACAGAGATTCGAGGTGCTGTTCCCTTGAATAAGCACTCAGAGCCCTGGAGAGCCTGTGGAGCCCTGCAGCCCTCTCCCATCAGCACCTCCGCTGCCACCCCACAACGCTCCTAGGACCCATGCGCCCCAGAACGTGACCACCAGCACAGCTAGAGGCCCAGGGCCTTAGATCCCACTAGCTGGAAACACCCTAAATGTGCCTGAGTTTGGAAGATGGAAGACCTCTTACTGCCCTCCTTTCCCCCAGGCTCCTCGGCTACAGGCAGGAAGCCTGAGGGGGGGCGGGAGTCCCTGGGGAGACGGGATGCCATTCTGGCTCCTAGTCCCCTCACTCCCAGGGCCTCGCTGCACTGCTGCTTCCCAGACGCTGCGGAGCTTACAGCTGCTCGAGTCCTTGGAAATGAATCCCTTCTTCTGGGGGGAAAAGGCAGTTATGGCGATTTAACCTGTCTCTCGACGGAATCTCCATGTCTTATGCACATTGGCCACCCCGGGGAATTCAGGTGAGCTGGGGAGAGGATGGGAGTGAGTGGCCTCTTTTCTCCTGGAAAGAGATGACACTGTCAGGACATAGCCAGATATGGAGAGGGAGAAAAAGGCACTTTGTGGGTTGCTGTGTCCTAGAATAGCTAGAAACTGAGCAAATGAGGGTGAGCAGCCTCTCCCTGGTACAGAGCGGGGCACGTGGCTCAGGTGTGTTTCAACCAGGTGAGAGGACGGTGGGACCATACCCTCTAGGTCTATTAATATGGCATAAGTGGCATTTGAAGTCTTAGCTTTCACACTAGACTGAGTGGGTAGGCAACTGAACATGCTGGTTTAAAACAAACAAAACAGCTATGTACCTGGTCTCTTCTGTACATTTAAGATTGCTTTTTTAAACTCTAAATAGAAAGCAATATTTATTTCTGTTTATATTTTAAATTGTTACATAGGGCTTATCATTTCTATCTATCGAGATGATTTTAAAACCCAAGCTAACTATCGAATGTATGAACCTTCCCTCCCTAGTACATGCCACTGCACGGTTCCATCCTGCCTTCTGCGTCCTCATCCACAGCTCAGATAGATTGTGGAGCAGACCTGGGCGGACACGTCCTGCGGCTCACCACGGCAGCCTTCCCACCAGCCTCGCATGGGCCCATCAATCAATATGTCTGGTGTGGCCACTCAGCCAACTGCAAACCACTTAAATATACTGTCCTGCAACCAACGTTTCTGCATTCTCTCACGAGGCCGACTGGAAGGCAGTGTCGAAATGAGG